TAGGTTGACATTACATTCAACCTTCCTATTATCTTCTATTCTGCATTTAAGCCAGGCCCCTAAAGGAGTTGGAGTTTGTAATGCCTGTAGTAAAGCTTCACACTTTTGGCATCTTTATTTATATCAATAGAGTTCTTATCTCCTGGTCACCCAACTTTTAAAACTTGGAGTCATTGTTGATAACTTTTTGTAAAGTTTTTTTTGGCCTCTAAAAATGTTACCTTATGTGTTTAATATCACTGAACTATACACTTCAAAATAGTTAAGATGGTAAAAAAAGCCACCCAAATTAAATATGAATAGATTCTGATGGTATAAGATTTAGACAATCAAAAGTACAAAAGCCCTGAAAGTCCTCTTTTACTTCTCTCTACCACCCCTTCCTCATCTTCTGGCCCACTTTGTAGACTTACACACACACACACACACACACACACACACACACACACACGGGCTATTAGTTGTTTACATAAGAAGTAGGCTGATCAAATATACCCCCAACTTATTGATGATGGGTACCCCTAGATGGGGAAGGAGTGGTAAAGAGGAGTGAAGGAGGATTTTTCAGTTTTGAGCTATTACTACCAATGCTGCATGAACATGATTTACATACATCTTTGTATTAAGCCTACCTCAGCAAGACATGAAACCCAGACACTATAAATGAGAAGACTGGTAGACTGACAATGTAGAAATATTATACTGTATTGATCAGGGTTCAACCTGAGAAGTAGAACGAATAGGGGAGATAAGTAAATGCAAATATTATAGATAGATAGATAGATAGATAGATAGATAGATAGATAGATAAGTGATAGATAGGTTTATGTGATTGTTGGGGCTGCCTAAGCAAGTCTGAAATCAGTAGGTCAGGTCTTCAGGAAGAGAATATTACCAGCATCTTGGAACTATATCTTCTTTTGGGAAAAGCTTCAATTCTGCTATTAAACCTTTTCAACTGACTGAATCAGGCTCCCCCAGATTTTCCGAGATAATCTACCTTACTTAAACTGGTTAGAGGCTTTAATTACATCTGCAAAATACCTTTACAGCAAAACCAAGATTAGTAATTGATTGAATAACCAGATACTATAGCCTAGTCAAGTTGACACATCAAAAAAATGATCACACATACAAATTAAAAATTTATGTACAGCAAAAGACACTGTGAACAAAGATAGACAACAGATAGGGAAAATATATTTACAATATAGGTAATAAAAGGATTAATATTCAAAATTTATTGAGTTCCCCGAAATCAACAAGAAAGACAAGAAATAGCTGATAGAAAAATGGGTAAAGGATATGAATAGGCAATTCGTACACAAAATAAAATAGTCTGATAAAAACATGTAAAAAAAATGTTCAAACTCACTAATAATTAAGAAAATAAAATTTAAACAATAGTTATTTTTTTCCTGATAATTTTGACAAAGATTTAAAAAGATAGATAATTTCAAAAGTTAGCAAAAATGCAGAGGAATGGGCATTCTCATTTTCGAAAGTTAGCAAAAATGCAGAGGAATGGGCATTCTCATTCGTACACAAATACTTTGGTGAGAGTGTACATATATAAAGCCTTTTAAAAAGGAAATTTAGCAGGGTCTATGAAAATTTTAAATAAGCATATTTTTCACCTCGTGAACTACCACTAGGAATCTATTCTCCCTTACTCCCATTGTTAATCACCAATTTCCAATGTTTAATCTTGTATCACTGAGCCTCTCAACTAAATTCCCTGATTTTTCTCTCCCTATCTGAGTTCAACTTGCACACTACTGCTAGATAGATCTTCCTAATTCTCCCATCTCTTTTTCTCTTATGCACAAACATACACACAAACACAAAAATGCCATAGCATTATTTGTAACAGCCCTAAACCGGAAACAACCCAAATGTCTAACAACTATAGCATGGGTAAATAACTTGTGACATACTCATGCAATAGAGTATTTACAATAAAGAAAGCGAATGGACTATTAATGAAACGTCAACATGGATGACTCTCAAAAAATACTGTTTGGGTAAAAGAAGAAAAACACCAAAGGAAACATAAAGTATGATTTCATTTAAACAAAGTTCAAAAAGGCAAAACTAAACTACCTTATTTAGGGATACCTACCTACGTGGTAAAACCATAAAGAAAAGCAAGGAAATAAATGATTATTCCAAATGTTCGAGTAGTGATTACCTTGGGTGGAGGAGGAAGGGAGTTGTGATTGGGGAAGTGAATTCAAGAGACTTCTGGGGTACTGTGGATCTTAGACTTCTTGACCTTGATGGTAATGACATATTAAACTAAACATATGTGTCTTTGTCTCTATTCTCATAATTTAAAAAAATGCCACTAGGAAACTTTCTGAGATGCTGGTATTCTATTTCTTGACCTAATGGTGGTTGCACAAGTTTTGCTTTATCATTTAAAAAATTAAATTTACATATGATTTCCACACTTTTCTGTCTGTTGTATTTGACTTAAAAATTGTTAAAAATCAATTAGATAAAAGCTTTTATGAATTACTCCCTGCCTACAGAATAAAGTTCAGACTCCTTAGTCTGAACTTTCAAATTCCACCACATACAGACTACCTTAGCCTTTCTAATCCTAACTCCCACTACTGTCTTCAATGGAAACCAAAAAACCCCAAACAAAACAAAACAAAAAAAGCCCCAACAGATACTAATTTTACTAAATTGCCTTTACGAAAAAAAAAGTTGACCTTTCCTCTTACTCTTTATTTGAAAGTAAATGGGGAAAGATTTTGAGTTGCCTACCACACGTTTTTCTAAGATGAATCAGAGCAGGATGAAATGCCTGCTTAGTCTGGCTATAATGAATATGTGTCTATAACACAATTCTCAGAAAGAAGACGTTTCTTCCAAGTTATTATCTAGCTGGCATTCTGTGTTCAGATTAAAAATTTTCTCAGTTTAAATAAGCTAAAAACGTTTGTTAAAGGCAGGTATACATGATGTTAGATACTGGTTTATGCCCACCAAAACACAGTAAAAAATAAACAAACAACTCGAGTTGAGCCCTGAGTCTTCAAGCACAGACTATCAGTTTCACACTTAGTCAACTTCACACGTAGACCCCATCGAAAGAACCAGGGCCAAATGTTCCTGGAAAATGGGACTTCTTAGGTTCACAGACATTTGCTGCAAATACCTGAGCCCCATGCTTCGGGTGGAGATCTCAGCAAGAAGATTGATGGGCAGCTTCCAGGGGAAAAAACGAAGGAGGGGCAGGATGTGGTCTTGGTGATTCAGAAGCAGCTCCCTTTTCTAGCACCAGTCATCGTGCAGCCACATGGCCCCACATGGTGCAGTGATGGCTCTCGATGAGCTGTCACACCAGGTCCTCCCTACTTGGCTTCATTAAAGCACTTGGTGATTTCAGAAGCCCGATTTGCGTATGAGTAGTTTTATTCTGTCTTTCTAAATTAGTCAAGCAACAAATTGTTGAAGCTTTCTGATCTACATGATAGGGTGGCATAAAGTGTTGTTGGGCATTATAATGCTTGCTTGCTTCATCTGGTGCTTAAAATGGTAAAGTAATATCACACGTTTGGAGGCAGCCTAGCATAGAGGTCCTGGGTGTTGGAGCCAAGCCGACTGGGTTCAAATCCCTGCTAGCCACTCCCAGACTTGTGATTTTAGAATTGTGCCCATATCATTCTTTTTGGCCCCAGGGCATGAATCGTGTGCTTTCAATGTGATTGGTGCAGCGGGCACTAAGAGTCATCCCTGCTGGTGCAACAGTGGTGGAGGTTACAGCAAGTTCCAGCAAAGCAGTGGCAGTTCTCCTGGTGGCTATGTCTGGATTCCAGGGCAGGCAGAGTGGGTCACACTGTCCAGTGCTGGGCATTTACTTCCCATGACTTGATTTGGGGTATTGTTCACAACTGCAGTCCTCAACCCGGCTATGCTGGTAATATTGGGAGTTATACGGTGACGTTTTATACATACTTTTTTGCTTAAACCAAACTTTTGGTTTCTTTTAAATGTAATTAAGGGTATTGACTGATACAATGACCTTGGGAAAATTTTTAAAGTTTTCTCAACCTATATTTACATCTGTGGCTTAGTAATATCTATCTCTTAGGGTTAGTGGGAGACTTAAATATGTTAATGTATGCAAGCAGTCACTATGGTGCTGGCACATAGTAAGGGTCCCTAAAATATTAGCTGTTATTATTAATAATTTATTGGGCACAGGAAGAACATTGGACAGTAAGAGTGAATCTCGGTATGAGGAGGTCCTCATTTTATCTTAGAGTTAGGAATGATAGCATGGAGTCTTTGAAATTACAGATCATTATATCTTAGTTCCAAGATTTGAGGAGAGTGACCCCATCTGAATGGTTATGTAGAAGAAATAATTCTCTCTTTTTGCAATGAGAGGATTAAAAGTAACTTAGGAATTTTTATGGCTCATAGCTTTAATTTATGGTTGGTTGATTTAGGTAACCATATATCTTTTGTTTTACTTATTTAATTTAAATTTAACGTATGACTGAAAAGGGCACAAATCTCAAGTTTATAGCTTGATTATTACACAAAGCCAGATATTGAATATTACCAACACTACAGAGGCCTACTTTGTGCTCCCATCCTCCAAAGGTAACTACTACACACATTTCTCTTACCATAAATTACTGTTGCCTATTTTTTAATTTTATATAAATGAGATTATGTAGTATGTTCTCTTTTTGTTGCTAAATGTTATATGAGATTCATCCATGTTGTTATACATAGAAATAGTTTTTTTCATTGCTGTGTAGTATTCCATTATGCATATAAATAAATAAATTAAAAAATATATATATACCTCCCTTTATTTATCCACTCCATTGTTAATGGACATTTGAGTTGCTTCTAGTTTGGTGCTATTAAGAATAATGTACTGGGGCTGGCCCCGTGGCATAGCAGTTAAGTGCGCACGCTCTGCTGCTGGCGGCCTGGGTTCAGATCCCGGGCGCGCACTGACGCACTGCTTGTCAGGCCATGCTGTGGTCGCGTCCCACATAAAGTGGAGGAAGCTGGGCACGGATGTTAGCCCAGGGCCAGTCTTCCTCAGCAAAAAGAGGAGGATCAGCATGGATGTTAGCTCAGAGCTGATCTTCCTCACAAAAAAAAAGAATAATGTACTAAGAATATTCTTGTAACCATCTTTTTGTGCACATATGTATGCATTTCTTTTGGATTTACACCTAGGAGTTGAATTGCTGAGACAAAGGGTGGGCATGTACTTTACTTTACTGGCAACAAAATTTCCAAAGTAGTTTTACCAACTTACAGTCCCACAGCATTGTATGAGTTTCTGGTGCTCTATATCCTTACTAACACTTGGTATTGCCAACCTTTTCAATTTTAGCCATTCTAGAGTGTGTGTAGAGATATCTTGTTTTGTTTTCAACTTGTATTGTCCTGATAACTAATGATGTTGAGCACCTTTACATGTTCATTGGCCATTTGGATATCCTCTTTGGTAAAAACCCTTTTCATGTCTTTTACCCTTTCTTAAAAAAAATGAGTCTGTCTTTTTTGTATTGACTTATAAGAGATCTTTATATAGTCTAGATATGCATTTTTGTGTGATTTGTGTATATACAATATCTTCCATTTTGTGTCTTGCCTCTTCATTCTTTTAGTGGTGTCTTTTTTTTTTTTTCTTGCTGAGGAAGTTTCCCTCTGAGCTAACATCTGTCACCAATCTTCCTCTTTTTGCTTGAGGAAGATTCGCCCTGAGCTAACATCTGTTGCCAGTCTTCCTCTATTTTGTATGTGAGCTGCCACCACAGCATGGCCACTGACGAATGGTGTAGGTCTGCACCCAGGAACCAAACCCAGGCCACCAAAGTGGAGTGGGCTGAACTTAACCACTGGGCCACCAGGGCTGGCCTTTAATGATGTCTTTTGATGAAGAGAAGTTTTAAATTGCAATAAGTCCAAATGATCAATCTTTCCTATTATGGTTATTGCTTTTTTTTTTTTTTTAAATAGACTTTATTTTTTTATTTTTTGTGAGGAAGATTAGCCCTGAGCTAACATCCATGCCAATCCTCCTCTTTTTGCTGACGAAGATTGGCCCTGAGCTACCATCTATTGCCAATCCTCCTCCTTTTTTACTCTTTTTCTCCCCAAAGCCCCAGTAGATAGTTGTATGTCATAGTTGCACATCCTTCTAGTTGCTGTATGTGGGATGCTGCCTCAGCATGGCCGGAGAAGCGGTGCATTGGTGTGCGCCCGGGATCTGAACCTGGGCCGCCAGTAGTGGAGCGCGAGCACCCAACAGCTAAGCCATGGGGCTGGCCCCTAAATAGACTTTATTTTTTAAAGCAGTTTTAGATTTACAGAAAAATGAGCAGAAAGAACAGAGATTCCCACATACTCCTCCCTATTCCCCCTCAGTTTCCCCTGTTATTAACATCTGGCATTGGTGTGGTACATTTGTTACAACTGATGAACCAATATTGATACATTATTATTAACTAAAGTTCATAGTTTACATTAGGGCTCACTCTGTGTTGTCCACTTTTTTGGGTTTTGACAAGTGCATAATATTATTTATCCACCATTACAGTATCATACAGAATAGTTTCATTGCTGGATCATATGGTAAGAGTATGTTCAGTTGTGTAAGAAATTGCAAGACTGTCTTCTAAAGTGTCTGTACCATTTTGCATTCCCACCAGCAATGAATGGGAGTTCCTGTTGCTCCATATCCTCTCCAGCATTTGATGTTGTCAGTGTTTTGGATTTTAGCCATTCCAATAGATGTGTAATGGTATCTTGTTGTTTTAATTTGCATTTTCTGGATGACGTATTTGTGGAGCATCTTTTCATATGCTTATTTTCCATCTGTATATCTTCTTTGGTGAGGTGTCTGTTAAGGTCTTTGGCTCATTTTTTAATTGGGTTGTCTTCTTGTTGAATTTTAAGAGTTCTTTCTATATTTTGAATAACAGTTCTTTATTAGATATGTCTTTTGCAAATATTTTCTCCAAGATGTTGCTGGCCTTCTCATTCTCTTGATATTGTCTTTGGTAGAGCAGATTTTAATTTTAATGAAGTCCAGCTTATCCATTATTTTTCTCATAGATCGTTCCTTTGGTGTTGTGTGTAAAAAGTCATTGCCATACCCACGATCATCTAGGTTTTCTCCTATGTTATCTTCTAGGAGTTTTATAGTGTCTAGATTCATTTTTTTTTGCACGTTGATATGATGTCCAGTTGTTCCGGCATCATTGTTGAAAATGCTCCATTGTATTGCCTTTTCTTTTTTCTTAAAGCAGCTATATTTATGGGCATCTATTTCTGGGCTCTCTATTCTGTTCCATTGATTTATTTGTTTATTCTTTCCCGAATACCAAACTGTCTTGATTACCAAGTCATGTTTTTATGAATGCCTAGCCATCCCCAGTGTGGAAAATAAAGCTCATTGCTTAGAGGATGGAATTATGGCTCAGTATCTATTTGGAGTTGTCTGTGGAACCAGAGATAGTTTATTTTTGACCAACTTAAAATTTACTAGTCTGTCCTCTTTCAGTGGCAAGTGAAAGCAACCCAGCTCAAACTCAAGCAAAGGAAGGAATATTTTGGCTCACGGGGACTAGGAAGAACCAAAATGGAACCGGCATCAGATATCTCTCTCTCTCTCCACCTCTCCCTCTCATTTAGAGAATTTTCAACAATAGAAGAGGAGAAAAAAAAAAACCCACCTCCTACTGGCTTAAAGAATAACTTCTTCATTTTCTTCACATGTTTGTTCAAATCTCACTTCCTCAATGAGGCCAACCAACCCTCACTTTATTCACCACCAAAACCTATCCCCTCCATCCCAGCACTCCTGATCCTTTTTACCATGCTCTATTTTTACACTTTCCCACTTACTACTTCCTAACATGCTGTAGAATTTTCTTATTTATGTTTTTAGTTTATTATCTGTCTTGACTAAAACTTTAGTTCCAAAAGGGCAGGGCTTTTGTGTATTTTGTTCACTGAGATATTCGAGCATCCAGAACAGGGCACCTAGAGCATTCCACATGGTAGGTGCTCAATAAATACTGTTGAGTGAGTGAAAGGGAATTTATTATCTCACGTAAGAAGAAGTCCGGAGTTGGGTGGTCCCAAGATTGTTAGTTCTGTGGCTCAGTGACATAATTAAGAACCATGTTCTCTTCATCATCCCTGTCTGACATCCTCAGCATGTCAGCTTGGTCTCAGGCTAGCTCTCTTCATGGTTGCAAGATGGCTGCTGCAGTTCTAGGCATCACATATCAACAAGACACATCCAACAGCAGCAGAAAGATGGCTGCTATCTGCTTTTTATTTATCTCCTTTTTACTTTAATTGATGAGGAGGCATATATTATTATTATTATTACTTTTTTTGTGTGTGTGTGAGGAAGATCAGCCCTGAGCTAACATCCATGCCAATCCTCCTCTTTTTTTTTTTGCCGAGGAAGACTGGCCCTGGGCTAACATCTGTGCCCATCTTCCTCCACTTTATATGGGATGCCGCCATAGCATGGCCTGACAAGGGGTGCATTGGTGTGCGCCCAGGATCCGGCCCCTAGATTATTTTTTAAAAACCACACTTGCATATATAACAACTGAAATTAAAACAAATGCATATAATTGCATCAGTTTCTGAGGTAGCCCTTACAGACAAGAATACATATTCTTAATATAAATTACTTGATTGCAACAATGTTCTTCCAATGTTTTGGAAGAAATATGTCAATATAAATTTATGAAATGTTAAGAAGGCATTTCTGGGCATAGTAAATATAATAATTTGGACGTTGCTTTTGAAAAGTTTAATATCTGGAAAAATTATTTTTAAAAATCCATATTAGTTATTTATTTTGATAAAACTCTTAGAGAGAAAATAAAACCATGAGGAAATCTGCCATGAGGATGATGAAAGGAAAGCGTTCTTGAATATAGTCAAGTAAGACAAAGTAGCTTTAAAAACTGTGAAAATGTATTTAAAAATGCAAAATTTCCATAAAGCTTGGTACAGCCAAAAACACATAAGAGACCACTTATATATTTTTTTGGGTCTGATCAATTGAATGCATATTTTATTTAACTCAGATTACAGGTCAAGTGGATTAAGAAAATTCACTTTTGCTAAGAAAATGAGATAGTAGGGGATCTGTGGAGCTCATTTAATATTAACTGTTTTGAAAAAATAAAGAATATTTATGTGAAAATGTTAATTAGAAAGATGGACTATATTGGTTGCAATATTGCTCAACATATGTGTAAAGCTCATGATTATTAAATCTGAAGAGAAAATAACTACAAATCACTCTGCTAATCCGTTGGGCATTTCTAGCTGAATTAAGTTTGTCCTTGTTAAAGAAATTATCTTCGTTTTTTCCCCCTCAGGAATGCATGTAAAGCACTTCCTGTCTCGATGCACGCCTAAGGCAAAAAGTTCAGTGCTCAATTACCTGCTGTCTGAAGTCTCATATTTTGCAGTGAGCAAGTGGAATAGCATTTTAATCAGAAGTCTTGACCCGCACTCTTCTTTTTCCCTTCACAGCCCTGCAAGCTATTTGGCATATGAAGGTCTTGACCTGAGAAAACCATCTTGGATAACCGCGGCAAGGAGAAGGAAAAATGCAACACCTAGGAGATTTCAGTAAACAGTAGAATCATGCCAACCTAATCTGTGTTAAAATGCTTGGAATGTGGGAGCCGCTGATGATGCCTGTTGTCTGTGTGTCTGACTGAATCCTTTCTTTACTCAGAGCAGCAAAGCAAAGCCTGGGAACCAGGCCAAATGCCTGCCACTTACCTTAAATTGATCAGCCACTTTGAGATTAAAACCCCTGAAAGCTGCCACACCGTGAAAACAAGGCCTCCTTCACATTAAAGGCAAATTGCGACTTTGGGTTTGCTGTGATCTTTTTTCCATTTTATCCAGTTTTTCACAGTGCACACTTTTTTTTTTTCCTTTCCATTTATGCTCCTATGTAGAAGCCAATAGTTACAGCATCTTGGCCAAGCATTCATT